TTTAATAGGTGGGGACAAAAGAACACTGCTGGCAAGAAACGACCAGAATCACAGTTTATCTTTTTTTGGTCGGCCATTCAAAAGGATCAATCCGAACATTAACGCTTTTTATTTTCATTAAAAAATTCTTCAAATAGCAAAGAAATGACAAAAGTTTCAAAAATGCCAATTTTGTCAATCCATGTCGTTTTCGACATCCAATCTTATTCCCATGTAAACAAACAATATTTCTGGTTGATTCCGACGAAATAAACAACAACATAAAAAATTTCCTCATAATTTCATATAAAAACTCTTTTTCTATCGATTGCGAAGTATAAACAGAAACGAGAGTCCTTTCTATGGGTACCTAAGTATTTTTAAAAAATATTGGTCCGTGAAAGTGGAAGGTAAGTAAGGTTTTTTGCCAAATTTTTGATTTTAAAGTGCCAGGTGAAATGAAGGCAAAGAAAATAGTATTTATACGATTGATCAATAGTTATTCCGATTAAATTATCTTTAACCAATCAAATCCTTGGTATAATATTCAGAGCGGAACAGTGAATACATGTGCTATACATGGCAATGAAAATAACTGTCACAAGCGAAATCCCTTTATCTTTTAAAAAAGAAATTTATGTTTATGTATGTAGAAGGGCTTTCAATCAGTTAAGAACTTCGCAGATGATAGGAAAGAGTTTTGTTTTTATGGAACGTATGTGGAAATTCTTAGCAGTTTTTTTTTTTTATTTTCATAATAATCGACCAGAAATCTTGTTGGTATACATGAAAATTGTATGGAAGGGGTCGAAAATGACATGAAAATTAAAACTAAATGACATTTTGTGAAAGTTTTCCCCAAATTTCATTACTATTTGAGGGATTTTAATTGAAACAATGGGGGGCCATTGGGCCCCAATCGTGCCAAACCATGGGGGACAGACAGTGGGGAATCACCAAAAAAGCTCACCAATGAGCACGTTGTGCTCAGGGTGAGGCTATTAAAAAACTTAAGCGTTGGATGAATGCTTTCAAATGGCAAACAACAAAAAGATAAAAATCGTTCTTTGGTCATTTTCTTTCATTTCTTTGTTTGTTCCGCAATAATGTTTTTGGATCCTGCTGGGGGGCCTTAAATTTTTAATGTACATATATAGCCAATTAGTAAAATATTTGATTATGTGACTGAGCGCCTGTTGGTCAAATACTTCTGATCTACCCAAGTTTGAAAATTGCAAATTTTCACTAAGAGAAGGTCAATAACTGTAACAAATACTTAATTTAAATCCACTTGATGGACTGACAAGGGTATACAAAAAATTAAATGGCCAACTCCCCCCCAAAGTTGGGGTACAAAAATCGAATTGGAGTGTCTAAAATCAAATCGAACTTTTGGTTTATCGTTTGCAGCCCTTACTTGGAGTCACAAAAGTACATCTGTGTTTGTACCGATGGAACAGATGGGAGGACGGATGGATGGTTAACCTTAAGTCCCCTCCAGTTAAACTGGCTTGCAGACAGCAACAAAACGCCAACATGACTAACAATACCTCAATTTTATTTTTTCAAAATAAAAAGTGGAGCTAAAAAACACACATACTTCAGAATAAAATTTTTCTTCAAATGAAATAAGAAATTATTTAAACATTACCAGAGCATTTCCATCATATGATACTGATACAAGGGCACCATCAACATGAGGACTCCAGGCCAGGCCAGTAACCCTGCTTGAATGACCATCTAATCTTCTCCAACATTCAGTAATCTGTAAAGGTTCCCTTTTCTCTGCATGCTCTAAAATTATAATTTATAACAACTAGAACTCTGTCAGATGTGTCGCCATGTCAACAGTATATCTGTCAGGCATTTTCTTCTTAAATATAGGTCATTTATAAGCACTGCTCTTGCAATGTACATGTAACATTACTTTAAATTGGGGCATTTGTAACTGATTGTAACAATGTGACGTCAGGATAATCAAGAGCCGCTTTAAAAAGGGTGATGCTCCCCGAATAAGTTTTGAACAACAGAAAAGTACACCTCTTGTAGTTTCATAGTTTATGTCCTTGACAAAGTTCAAAGTGCAATGATTCTGAAAAATTAGGGCAAGGCTGCTGAGAGTTACTATTCTTTGCACTGCACTTCTACTCAATGAGATCTATCTATGGACTTAGTTTTTTGTTGATATCGTTTGGTAGTTTCACAGTAATGTCAGGACAAAGTTCACAGTGTAAAATTGAACAAGAGCCACCGCCTGGCAGGGGCAATGCTTGACTTTTTTTTTTTTCTAAAAGCAAAAAAGAAATGTTTGAAAACGTTTTCTTTTTATAATTTAATCGGTCTGTCTATATACACACATTTATATATATATATATATATTTAAATACATTGAGTATTATATATTAATTTACTCATAATATAATAATACACGCATATTCTTTGGAGTTATTGCCTTTTAGCTCACTTTTTTTTTTGAAAATATATATTCACACATACCATCACCTACGGGGCCCATATATAAGACCAACTTAAGTGGCATTATTTCATGCAGTCAGTTTTTTATATATGCCACTATGTAGGCATATAATGAACATTTCCAAACAACAGAACTAAGGGGTACTAATGAGTTATATATATCAACTATATATTTAATTTTACAATAGGTGAAAACATATTGACAAGAAACATAAAACCCCATTAAAAATATATACATTTGTGGTGCAAATATCATTAACTATTAAAAACCGGCTTACGGCACTATTTTAGAAGGGTAGCCTACACCCCCATACGTCATTTTAAACATGCCCCGTAAATGGAGGAATGTAACTGTATATATATATATATATATTGTTTTTTTTTTTTTTCCAAAAAAAAAAAAAAGTTGAGCTAAAAAAGGGCAATATCTCTAAAATTAGACAAGGCAGATTTACATTTCTTTTGCACTGCACTGATCTATCTACCTACAAATTTAATGTTAATATCTCATATAGTTATGTCCCAGACATTAAAGTTCAAAGTGAAACAAAAGCTGTCACTTAAAAGTGACTTATGCCCCTGAAAGGCAGCTTTGACATAAAATCCCTGATACATGCCAAAATACCGGTATATACGCCAGAATCATTCCTAAATTTTCATTAATTCCATTTCAAGTGTAGGAGAAAGACTCTAAACAAATTTTACTAAAACAAGATGTTACTTCAGTGTAACTTCTGAAAACCGAACACCTGTGGGACTAGCCAAAAAGTTCAGGACTTGGAAGTTTCCGGAATTCATAAGTTCAGAATTATCTGAACAAGTAGAAACATTAGGTTAACATTGAACATCAATTGTTTAAGACGAATGTAGGACAAAACCCCACCAGTTAAAACCGTTTCAGACATGATGAAAAATATAGGAAGCTTACTAAATTCATAAAATGGCAAAATAACAGGACTTTTTAAAAGTTATAAATACATTGTATTTTAAATTTCATGATCACCTATAACTCAATTTGTTGATACAAAAGCATTATTTCATGTTCTACCAGCTATTTATAAATTGTGTTTTTCATCACACTATACTTACCATTTTTTTTATTTTTCACACTTAAATAAGTGTTTTACATGCTTGACAGGTTGTGATTGTAATAGGTGTCAAGATGGTTTGCTGCTAATTGGAAGCTACATGTACTGACATTTTGAAGGTTTTACAATCTCAATTATAATATTCCTTCACACCTTTTTCAATTTCAGGATTTTGGAAGTAAATTTGAATTGATATAACCAAAATTTTACCTGAAAATCGTTCAGAATTCAGAATGTCCAGAATTCAAAGGTATTCAATACATAAACAAGAGCTGTCGGTAGGACAGCAACGCTCGACTATTCTTAGTGCTTGATAGTAAAAAAATATACTTGATACAGTTACCTCCTCCTGTTTACAGGTTGGGGTCATGATGGTGAACAAGTGTGCAAAGTTTCAAAGCCATATGTCAATGGACTTTGAAAATATTTGAACTATTACAAAAACTTTAACGTAAATTCTAAGTCGAAAAAGGGGCATAATTCTGTCAAAATGCTTGATAGAGTTACCTCCTCCTGTCTACAGGTTGGGGTCATGATGGTGAACAAGTGTGCAAAGTTTCAAAGCCATAAGTCAATGGACTTTGAAAATATTTGAACTATTACAAAAACTTTAACATAAATTCTAAGTCGAAAAAGGGGCATAATTCTGTCAAAATGCTTGATAGAGTTACCTTCTCCTGTCTACAGGTTGGGGTCATGATGGTGAACAAGTGTGCAAAGTTTCAAAGCCATATGTCAATGGACTTTCAAAATATTTGAACTATTACAAAAACTTTAACATAAGTGGTTACGCCGACGCTCGGGTGACTACAATAGCTCTACTTATTCTTATCGAATAGTCGAGCTAAAAACCAGGAGAAATTTCAGGACCCTGAAAAATGTTCGAATTTCAAAATTTCCAGATTTTAGAAGTTCAGGAATTCTGCAGTTATTTTATAATAATATATAATAAATTTCTGTATTTTATAATAGTTCTGGTGGCCATTCTGTGCAGTTGAGCGGAATATGCCGGTGATATGCACAACTAATTAGATGGTACTGATCACTTCTGTGAAGTTTTATTGAAATCCGACCAGCATTTAACCTCTGAAAGTAGGACAAGAATTTTCTAAATATAGTTCTGGCGGCCATTATGTGCAGTGGAGTGGAACTTGATGGCAAATTATGCACAACTAGAGATGATACTGATCAATCCTGTGAAGTTTCACTCAAATCCCCTCCAGCGGTTTTGCAAACTAAGTGCTGACAAGATATTTCTATTTATAAGGGATAACAAGGGATAATACTTATCGATCCTGTGAAGTTTCACTGAAATCAACCAAGCGCTTTTGGAGATGCAGTGACAAAATTTTCTATTTAACAGCTCTGATGACCATTTTGTGCAGCAAAGCAGATCTTGTGGGCGATATGCATAACTAAGGATGATACTGATCAATTGTGTGAAAGTTTCACTGAAATTCCACCAGCTTTTTTGGAGATGAAGTGTGGACTAGATTTTTCTATTAATAGCTCTAGCCACCATTTTGTGCAGCGGAGCTTAACATGCTGGCGATATGCACAACTAGGGATGGTACTGATCACTTCTGTGAAGTTTCACTGAAATCCCAACGGCGGTTTTGGAGATGAAGAACGGTCAAGATTTTTCTATTAATAGCTCTGTGTAGCAGAGCAGAATGAGTCGGCGATATGCACAACTAGGATGGTACTGATCACTTCTGTGAAGTTTTGCTAAAATCCCAACAGAGGTTTTGGCGATGAAGTGCAGACAATATTTTTCTTTTTAAAGCTCTGGCGGCCCTTCAGTGCAGCAGAGTGGAACTTGCCAGCCATATGCACAACTAGGGATGGTACTGATTATTCCTGTGAAGTTTCACTGAAATCCCCCATGCAGTTTTGCAGATGAAGGGTGGACAAAAAAATTTTATTTTTAGCTCTGGCGTCCATTTTGTACAGCAGAGCGGAATGTGTCCGTGATATGCACAACTAGGATGGTACTGATCACTTCGGTGAAGTTTTGCTGAAATCCCCCCAGAGGTTTTGTAGATGAAGTGCGGACAAGATTTTTCTATTTAAAGCTCTGGCGGCCCTTTAGTTCAATGGAGTGGAACTTGCCAGCCATATGCACAACAAGGGATGGTACTGATTATTCCTGTGAAGTTTCACTGAAATCCCCCATGAGGTTTTGCAGATGAAGCTTGGACAAAAAATTTCTATTTTTAGCTCTGGCGTCTATTTTGTGAAGCAGTGCGTTCACATGCTGGGCATATGCACAACTAGGGATGGTACTGATCACTCCTGTAAAGTTTCACTGAAATCACCCTAGCAGTTTTGGAGATGAAGTGCTGACAAGATTTTTCTGTTTATAGCTATGGTGGCCATTTTGTGCAGCGCAGCGGAACATGCAGGCGACAACTTAGGAATGGTACTGATCACTCCTATAAATGTTCACTGAATTTCCCCCAGTAGTTTTGGGGATGAAGATTATCGGATGGATAGACGGAAGGACAGGAGTGCCATTACTAAATGCTGCCCTTCAGGGGCATAAAAATGAACAAGGACAATAACTTATTACTGCGGCTTAATTTTCTGCAAGCGATCCATAAGTCCCCTTGCGGTTAGAACCCCAGCAACATTCTGAAGGGCCATTGGCCATTCACTTATGTTTCAATTTTTTTCTTTTTTAAGAAAATTTGTTGGAAAAGTTCTTTTAAAGTGAACACAGGAAAGAGTTTTTATGAACAGACAGACTGAAGGACACTCTAAGTTAATTTTTTAAACATCCCTGTTACAAAATATGACATTTTTAAAAGCAAAATTCTTAAAGAGGAGGTAACTCTTGAAATAAAGATCCAAGATGTCATACATGATGTGAGTATAACAAATAACAATTAGTAATAAAGCTGTTCATAATGAATGTTTATTTTGAATTTGAAGTAAATGAAAGTTAAAAGAATGAATAACAAGAGCCCGGTTTGAGCCGGGTGATGCTCCCTGAATAGGTTTTGGACACAGGAAAGTACACCTCTTGTAGTTTCAGAGTTATGTCCCTGGAAAAAGTTCAAAGTGCAATAATTCCAAAATTCAGCAAGGCAGAGTTACTGTTCTTTGCACTGCACTTCTAATCAATGTGAGCTATCAACCTACAAAGTTTCTTGATGATATCTCTTATGATTTCCGAGTTATGTCCCGGACAACTTCAAAAAGTAAAAATAAACAAAGGGCAATAACTCC